GCGTGATCGTTGAAGCACAAATAAAAAGGCCAGGTTTCCTACAATACAATAAAACGAGGATATTAATCTTGCATGCATGACCGTACATCACTCAAATCTTATACAATACAATGTATCGAAGAAATTAATCCTGCATGCAAAACAGCAGTCACGTTGTATTTGCAACAGTCAAGTATATACTCAAACAAAACAAGACGATGAACTTATGTATACTGTAGTATTGATTTCTGACAGGGTTCGTTGCATGGATTCCGAATTTGCATTTATTTGCAGAGTAAATAAAACTTTTCTAATGAATCAAGAAACAAACAAACTTAGTCAAAAGATATATAGGTCACTGAACACATGCTTTGGAACTATAACATTTTAAATTGACCCCTGTAAAATTCTCGCTCGCAGCTAGCCAGAATTCGATCAACCATTTCTACGATTCAAAACAAGAACGAATCGAGGCTGAACAAACAAACTTAGCCAAAAGATATATAGGTCACTGAACACATGCTTTAGAATTATGACATTTTAAATTGAACCCTGTAAAATTCTCTTTCACAGCTTGCCAGAATTCGATCAACCATTTCTACGATTTAAAACAAGAACGGATCGAGGCTGACATCCCAGTTAAAATTTAGGGCAGGGAATAGAGCAGGCCGTCGCCGGCTGCAGAGCCGGCGTAAAGACGCGACAGGGCAGCGATAGAGCAGAAATGTCCGCTTTAGAGACGATATCGCCAGCCGCGTATCAGCGCTAATTAGCTTCTGAGTACCTGCCCAGGTGTGCTCTGTNTTCTCGTTCACAGCTAGCCAGAATTTGATCAAACATTTCTACGATTCAAAACAAGAACGAATCGAGGCTGTTATGCATGAGGGAAGACAGCAGCATGCAAGCAGCAGGCACGTCAATCGTTACACTGCAGTGATTGATGAAGCTGCAGCTGTCCAGAGGCGCAAGAAGATTGCGAACGGTGGAGTGACCGTTAGAAAATAAGAGCTCACCAGTTATGAAGAACCTTTCAGCACATATTTAACCACCGCTACACGGCGTAAATGAGAAGACGCGCTCAACTGTCGACAAGCCTCATCGAAGACGTTGAAAAAATTCTCTCCGTCAAATCTTATTACCTATTGCGAACTCTGTGTCTCGTATTCTAAGTCAGCAACCAAAACGCAAAAATACAGAACAGACTATATATGATCAACAGGAATGCGACTGAACCTGATGATTAATAAAGTCTACGAAGATTAAAATTGAACGCATGATCGTATGAGGACATGACCGTGAGATGGTTATGCGAATATAAGAGAGTTTCTATTTTAAATGTGAAATATAAACTTTGTGAATTTTCTGTGAAATATAGTTAATCGAATATAGAAAAAAATAGAACTACGCATCAAACAGTGTTGACAATTTCTCACAAAAGAAGGAACATACGTTCACGGCATTGCGTTCATCAATACAACATGAATCAAACTGTCACTAGTTGTTTCCAATACTGAAATGATATTGTCACTATAATTACTGAAAGTTATAGGCAACCCACAAACAAATGTATTATTCTTTTCTAATTTTGCCAATACGCCTCAGTACAGCTATGAAAGTGTTATCATAATTAAGTCAAGGCTAATTTGATCTTAAATGCGAGAAACACCATAATTACGATAGTTTCTACAAGTACACTGCCAAACAAACGACCCCTATATTTGCAGAAACTAATTAATTGTATGGACTAACTCACAATAAATAGTGTTATAATATTCGACTAAGACGTCTAACGACGAACCTATACACTTACATTGCCTTGGGTGACCAAGAAATCGATTAGCAAGAACAGACGTGAAGCAAGTCTACAGCCTTTCGTTAAACATCATCACAGTTACTCATCACAGAGAACGGTCGGCAGCCACCTACTGCCCGACGTTTGCTGATGCAGCTTGAATGTAAACAAATGTCACATAACCAAAGTGTAATATACTACAGCTTCGAACTCGTTGTTGAATCAGTCATAGCATCTGAATTTATAGTCGCTTCAATTAGCCGAATACCCGAAAAAGATTGTTCTTACTGCCAGTATATAAAAAACATGCGCTGTTCTAATTTATTTCAAATAGCGAGTAGACGCCGGTTCTGCACCCCAGCAATCTAACTGAGGCACAGCGCTATAAAGAAGTGTGCACTTTAAAAACTACTAAGCTACTATGAGTATTAAATATAAGTACGATTAGAATATAATTCTAAAAGAAATAGACGACGAACGTCTTGCGTCAAGTTTATGAAATTGATAACCGCGGAATTGAACTTAATTCTGTTGAGCTACAACGCAACAGCTGTCATCGTCACTATGTGGTTCAGGTGGGCGGATACACTTCAAGTTCACGTTAAACTTCTACTTTAGGCATAAAAAGTAGCAAAGAATAATGACGGCCCGCAGGAGAGCATCTTCCATAACTAGCATTCCTCCACTCAAATATCTGTCACTGAGTGCCAGTGGTGATCGTAATTCGTTAAGAAAATTAGTTGTTCGAATGGTACACGGAAACGTAAGCTGCACAGTTTGCACGATCACGCGGTCCCATCAGAAGTAGCGTGACGGCAGAGAAAGTCTCATCTGTCACGCCCTAGACTGCCGCACTATCAACGGCAGTCTTCGTACGCTGATATGCTGCTCCACGTAAACCTTGATCATCGTAACAACTCTTACTTCAATGTATCTATCATTCACAAGCCGATCATAATTTAATCTGAACGTCCAAATGATCATTAATGGTAAGTAAATTCCACTGTTTAGAGAAATTTTCAATCGCGTTTAGCACTAGCAGATCATTGTTCAATCGCGTTTAGAGACTTTGATGTCCTTGCATATGTTCTCCTCACTTCTCGTCTTTACGTGAATGATCTAAAAAGAGATTTTCTAATAATAACCAGGAGGGGAGGGAGTGTCCGACTGAAACAATGCGAAATGTTTGCTTTCATTGCAGAAAAGTTAAATGCCGGCTGCCGCGAAACCAAGGCTGAAATAAAAGAATTTAACAGGGGAAAAACACAATAGGTTGTTAGTATCAGCTGAAAAACATGAATAATAGCAATAGGAGAATGAAATACATTTGAGCTTTACTCGCTTCAAAGGAAGGAACAAAACTCGTTTTCTTAGAGAACCTTGAAACTTTCTGCTCGTATCATCTATGTTTACCTGCTCCAACTCAACTTTGTTTGAGTTTTTACAAGAACGTAAAATAGCGGGCTGTTATTTATTATGCATAATGGTAAAAAAAATAACAAAAAAAACATCGCCCTTGGTTGAACGTCATGAATTACTGGAAAAAAATTGGCCTAAACTTAGAGTAGACTGAGAAACAGCCGTCACTTTCAACGATGGAAGCATTTTTTTCGTCGTATATACGTAAATCACATAGACATTCCGAAATCCGACGATAATACATTAACATAGGGCAAAATACGAAACAATTTCCATACTGTTTAAATTTACTCGTTAGAAAACCAGCTAAGACTTATTAATGTTCCCATTTTCCAGGAAGAAATTCAACCATGAAGTTAAAATTTGCATTATTCGCATTCTAACGTGGCTGCATGTACAGCGATGATCTGGTCATTACTTAACTTGGCTGGACTGGTCGAGACCGACGCTCAGCCCGCTCAAGCCTAGAATTAAAAAGGATTTTAAGACCGTTACTCGCGCGTCAGGTGCTCTTCGGATGGAAAAGTGCTCGCGTAACTAAAGCCGCATGCAGCCGTGGTCATTCAAGCTCGTCCATGAACACGATTGGATGATTAAATAAACGAGGGAATGCCTGTAGGTCGACTCAAAAATGCGGTAAGGTACTGCATTCGGAGCCAGGAGTTTATTATGGGGATTCACATAGTTGAATTCCAAATAAAACTATTCAATAGTATGAAAAACTGCGTAAATTAGTCCGACATTAAAAGGGCAAAACATCGCGTGGTTTATGGAGCTATATATAACAATATTTCCTAATACAGAAATATTTATCACTTGACTTCACCTCAGTCCTCATAAGGTAACTACCTAACCGCCGTGTTAGGAAACTGTCATATTTGTTTGCAGCATGAAAAATACGGAGACAGAATTTGGATCAAGATCCCATAAAATACAAGAATTAGTTAGAACGAACAATTTTGGTAGTATTACGTTTTAAGTCATCCCGCATATGACAACCTTAATTTAATTATATATTTTTTATAAGGCTAGTCTAGTAGCTATTTAAAACTATCGTTATAGTCCTGGAAAGATCCGGTCAAATGACACGATGTTAGATCTTCAGTGAACAAGTCACGAAAAGTAAGAATCGGCGACAGGCCTCATCAGTCTTACTCTTCGGCGCCGACATCGCTATGTTATGTTATGTTATGTTATAAGAAAGGATAAGTAGATGCTAGCCCTAATAGCGAAGAGCTCGAGGTAAAGCGTATGTAACATTACCATTTATTTATCACTTGATATGCCGCGCTACTTTTCTAAAATTGTGGAATTAACGCCCACGATTCATGTACAAGTGACTGAAATTCAACACGGCAGTAGAGAGCAGAGCGCACATGCGAGCGGTCAGCAGCAGATGTTGCGTGAAGTACATAATAAAATTTACCGTTCAAAGTCAACGCTCTGGTGATGGACTCCCGCTCAAGTCACGGTTTAAGTGTTTTCTAAAATTCTAAGAATCGAAACGATAGAGGCGTACAGAACGTATGTTATGGATGACGTCAGACAGCTCGTCGCCAAGAATGAGTCAAGCCAAAAAAGAATCCTTGTGAATACGGCCGGCATTTCCATAATGGAATAAATACGAAGAAACTGTATATTGAACAGGATTTTTGTTTAGAAATAATACAGAAAATGCTTGAAAAATTGCTACTGCTCATCACGATTAGAATTTTTTCAATGTATTATATACTTTGCAGTTAGAACATAACTCCAGATAGTAAAGAAGTGTCATGAAAAATAGCAAAAAAATGCAAATTTTAGTACATACCAGGCGGTGGAATTTCTGGGTGCCGTCGAACATCAGCTTCATCGTATGTGCTCCTGTCGACTTCAGCGAAGATGTCATCGATTTTACGTTTCTGATCCTGCTTGGCCAGCTGGACTCGGTCCACCTCGGTCACCTCGCCACGAGGCGCCACACAGCGATTGTTCTTCGGGATGGCGTATTCGGAAAAATCGTCCTCTGGCGCAATCACTGGGCGTGAATATTTTTTGGGAGTATCGTAAATGTGAGTGGCTGATCTTGGGATGTCGTAAGTCTGGCCACCGTTGAAATCGTCGGAGGTCTTACTGGAATTCGAAGACCTGGATCGATGGTTCTCTTTGCTGGAGCGGTCTTTCTTAGACCTGGAACCGGAGTTCGAGCCTGTGACGTTCATATATGTTGGTTCATCATCGATAACATTCTCGTACAATGACAGGTCGTATTGAGAAACATTTTCGTACAACAGTTGGCCTTGGACTAGATCATATTTATTTTCAACCAACTTGTTCGATCTAGGCCTGTCATAAATTACTTCTTTTTTGGACTTGTTGCTAACGTTTTCATAATTGGTAGTCTCTTTGTGGATGTTCTCGTAATACGGATCGCCGTTCTCGCTGATTTGTTCGTAGTGGGGTTCAGGAACTCTATCATACACATGTTCTACATTTTTGTTTGAGGTGTACCTCACTCCTATGATACCGGACGGACCAGGGGACCTCCCGCTTTTGTTCTTGCTACTTGACTTCTGACGAGGCATGGATGCCGTATGGTATACGGGTTCGCCAATGTTCTGGTAAAGGTCGGGCGTGGACTTGACCATGTTTTTCTTGACACGTAAATTTCTTACTGACTCTAAAATTTCATCGACAGACGGCACGCGACTCAAGGGCCTCTCGAATTCTACGTATTCCCCGGACAACCCATCATTGTAGCTCTGTGTACGTGTGAGAGGAAACGACCGAGGCACAAAACTACTTCTTGAGTCGTCCAACCCTTCTTTGAAACTCTGAGAACGCTTAATGTTAACACCACTGACAATAGGTAAAGATTCTCTGCAAGGAGACACGTCGTAACTTTCTCCGTTAGTACTATTAACACTTGCTCCACTACCACTGTAAATATTCACAACAGAACTACCGCTACCGGTAGTGACGCTTTTTAGATTGAGGTAAGGCTTCCTCCTCGGTAGTGTAACGTTCACCGCTGCTGTAGGCTCGACGTCTCGCACTGCACCACCACAATCACCTACCCAAGTGCCGGCTTGCGTGTAACTGACGGTGGTCGCTCCGTCGAAGCGGCTCTTCGTTCCCATGGAACGGCACTTGGCAGTTGTTACATCTGCTGGCAAATCGCTGCTGCAGATGTTGCTACTGCTCCCGTCCAGAACTACTCGAGTCCAACCACCATCACTACTGCGGAGAAAAAGTATCTTCTTGTATTAAAAACATCATGCTGTAAAACTGCAAATATTTGTCACTCTCGAACTAAGATGAAGATTTTTCATCAATAATGTTATTACTGTAATTATAAATTTTGAACCGAAATTTGATGTGAATAATATGCGTTTAAAAAATACTTTTTAAAGACAACACTTCTGAACAATCCAGTGTCTTGGATGTTACACATGTACAATGAATTTCTAATTTTATTGTCAAATATTGTAAAGAAAAATTATTTTTCCAAATTTTTTTAGGATATCAAAATTTTGTAAATTTTCAAAATAATTTATTCTGTCAATTGATTCATGCATTATCTCTGACTTTGCAATTGTGCAAAATTTCAAATCAATTGGACAGGTCAAATTGTGTCATATATGGATTATAAGATTTGTAGCAGACGAAATCATTTTTTAATTTTTTTTCATAATGAAAAAATTATTTTTTTTAATTTAAACAATTATTTATTCTGTCAATTGAATCATGCATTGTTTCCAACTTTACGCAAGTGTGCCAAATTTCAGATAGATTGGACACTGGACAGGTAGAACTGTGTTAAATATCGATTATAAGATTTGTAGCAGACAGACAGACAAACAAACAAGAAGTGAAGTTAAAGAGAAGTCTTTTAAAAACGTTACTGAGCTTATTACTATAATCTTAAACTGAAGACAAGCGATATCTTCTAGTTAACGCGATCAAACGATAGGATACTTAAATATATTATTGCTTTGAATAAATTAAAAATTACCGGGCATATGTATTACTATAGTCTTGAACTGAACATAAGCAAATTCTGCTCGTGAACACGAGCAAACGCGAGGAGACTTAAATATATTATACCTAAAAATATAAAAAAGTTACTGAGCTTATTACTATAATCTTAAACTGAACACAAGCGATATCTTCTACTTAACGCGATCAAACGATAGGAGACTTAAATATAATATACCCTAGAATAAATAAAAATGACTGAGCATATTACTGAAGTCTTGAACTGAACACAAGCAATTTCTGCTTGTGAACACGATCATATGATCGGAGACTTATATATATATTATAACTTAGAATTTAAAAAAAGTTACTGAGCTTATTACTATAATCTTGAACTGAACACAAACGAATTTTTCTAGTTAACGCGATTAAACGATAGGAGACTTTAATATATTATACCCTAGAATAAATAAAAAATTACTGGGCCTATTAATAAAGTCTTGAACTGAACACAAGCAATTTCTGCTTGTGAACACGATCATATGATCGGAGACTTATATATATTATAACTTAGAATGTAAAAAAAAGTGTGAACACGATCAAACGTTAAGAAACTTAAATATATTATACTTTAGAATCTAATAAAAGTTACTGAGCTTATTACTATAATCTTAAACTGAACACAAGCGATATCATCTATTTAACGCAATCAATCGATAGCAGACTTGAATATTCATACCCTAGAATAAATAAAAAAATTACTGGGCATATTACTATAGTCTTGAACTGAACACAAGCAATTTCTGCTTGTGAACACGATCAAACGATAGCAGACTTGAATATATTATACCTTAGAACATAAAATAATATGCGTTAAATATTTACTTTTTAAAGACAACACTTCTGAACAATCCAGTGTCTTGTATGTTACACATGTACAATGAATTTCTAATTTTATTTACAAATATTGAAAAAAAAATTATTTTCAAATTTTTTTTTAAGATATCAAAATTTTGAAAATTTCAAAATTATTTATTCTGTCAATTGATTCATGCATTGTCTCTGACTTAATGCAATTGTGCAAAATTTTAGATCAATTGGACAGGTCAAATTGTGTCATATATGGATTATAAGATTTGTAGCAGACGAAATTATTTTTTATTTTTTTTTAATAATGAAAAAAAATATATAATTTATAAAATTATTTATTCTGTAAATTGATTCATGCATTGTCTCCAACTTTACGCAAGTGTGCAAAATTTCAGATCGATTCGTTTGTTTGTCTGTCTGTCTGCTACAAATTTTATAATCGATATTTAATACGCTTCTACCTAAGTGTGTTAAATATCGATTATAAGATTTGTAGCAGACAGACAGACAGACAGACAGACAAACAAACAAGAAGTGAAGTTAAAGAGATGTCTTGTAAAATAGTAGAACGGTTGTCAAAACACTGGAAAATTTCAAAAATTATTGTTGAGCAAATAAATTTTTGTGGCAGAAAATTAAAATATTACGTAGTATAAAATAAAAATGGAGGAATGAAATTGTCTAGAGATTTTTCGAAAATGTATCCATTCAACAATGGAACGAAAAATCTTATGAATGCAAAAAAGAACAAACTAACTATTGATAATACTCGTAATAATACTCGACCCGTGCTAGAGGTCGTGGCCATGCAGCTGATATGCCCAAATCTTTAGCGAACTGAGTCTTAGAATGAGCTAAATGCAACTGTATTGTGCAAGGATCTACTTAGAACCAAGAAACGTTCTTAAAGTAAGTTACTCGTATAACAAGCAATATTCATCTAGAACAGGTTAACAATGTAATAAAGTAATATAAAAATGAGTCGACATTTTCAGTGGCCTACAAACCGTTTCGCTTCACCATTTTTGAGAATTTCTTGTCACCACTGGTACATATTGTTCCATATATACACGATGATGACATTTCTGGCGTAATTGACATGCAAACCAAATTACATTTTCGCGCCGGTTACATGGTTCTCAATTGAGCCTAGGGACAATAAACTTCAAGAATTTTAATTTATCTAGAATTGTCCAAATACATCATATCTGTTCTATGTGATTCAAGTACAAAAAATTTTGTGGACTGGACAGGTCATTATAAACAGGAGAGCTCTTCAATTGGCAAAAATAGACTGGGCTGTCCCACCTTTGCCAAATTTTCCGTTGATATCACAGTAAATATCAGGCCGAAATCAGCCGCAGAATCGTTTAAAGGAAAACCGAAAAAAGCAAACCTTATGTTGGATAAAGTTGCCACGTTCGAGTGTCGCGATGGTGACGAGAAGTTATCGTAATGTTTAGTTCTACGGGGCTTTTTATTTCTGCTCTGATGGCCCGATGACGGTGACGAAAGGCTGATATTAACTGTGGTAGTGGAGGACAGGGCGGACGAATTGCAGGCATTTGTCCACGAGTCTAGTGCCTCACAGCTGTACGATCTAAGGGGGAAGCCAGACATATTGTTAATAATTTATCAAACCTCCTACATGAAGTCTTCTCTTTTTCTATATATGTTCTATATACGTTCATTACTAAAAATGTTTTCATGACATGGTATGTAACATCTTATTTGCTCACCAGAAAGCGCATTTGAAATATATAAGAATACACATATCTCAGTTAGTGAAGTAATAAACTCTGAAAGTAATCGTGATAAAAAACCAAGTACGATCGATTAAAATTTATTTACGATTTATATGCATTATCGTTCAACCACACAACTTCTAGTATATATTACTACCTCCTGAAGTCATCCTGGTACTGGGGACGACCATTAATGAAGAGAACTTGTTCGTAAGTACCAGCATCGGATGAAACCTCGGAGCCGCCGTTGAAACTCTCGTCTTTCCCGGAATCTTTTCCAGTCACGACGCAAACTTCATCCACTTCTTCCCGACCGAGACTACGAGTCCTGCTGGCTACTTGATGAGCGCGTCCTTCGTTAGGAAGATCCCCAAACTTCAGAGAGCGGCCGTCGCCAAGCCGATCAAGGCTGCGGGAATGAGGGAGATCCTCCGAGGAGGTGTCAGAATTGCCCGGCCTTCGCTTGCGAGCTTTGTCTCGAGCACCTGAGATATAAAAAAAGTACATTTAGTGGAAGAATCTGTAACTAATTTTGGAACAACAAAGCATTTGTTGATGGACTTGAGCAATACGAGCCGCAGTAGATTGAAAACTGGCAACAATGTTGTAAAACAAAACTTGTTCCTCATTCGCTTACGGCATAGCGCTCTTGACGGGGACTGAGTAGAATTACAGAAGAAACAAACTTAAGTAATTGCAGGCCCCATAAGTCAATTTTTATAAGGAAAAGCGCCAGTAACTGAGTAAGTGCACTAATGCAGTATTCAAAGAGTAATCCGTCGTCACATTTCCAATACACAAAAAACTTGACGGACTTCATTCTCGAGAAGGAACAACTCACCGGACTGCGCATGACGCGCGTTGTTGACGACGAGATGAGCAGCTCGTTGGAAGAAAGCCAAGGAATTCTTGAATCCCGAGACCGTAGACGGAGGAGGTAGGGAAGGAGACCCCGGAACGGACTTGCAGAAGTCGAGCTCTCCGTCGGATCCGGTACTTGAAGACACCGCAAGTCCGGAATCTCGAGGACTTTCAGAGCGGCTCTCAAACGAGTTGTCTCGCCCCAAGGGGTACTCCGAAGCGAAAGATGAGGAGTGGCCAGAGTCGAAGGGAGTAGGTGAAGAAGATATCGTTGTCTTAGACACGTTTGAAGTGCACTTCGTTCGATCAGGGGCTTGAGTGGATCGGGAGGATGACGAATCTTTGTGGCGAGACTTGAGCGACTGCTGTCGAAGTAAAGTGAAGACAGTTACTTTTAGAATCAAAGTTAATGATTTCAGAAGATAAGAATATGAACTGCTCTGAATAATCGTGACCGTAACCGATTACCAGGTAGCCGTTGTTTTTGATTTGCTGCAATCACCGCATGTAAACGTTGGCATCAAACATGTTAACCATGAATGACTGACGTAATAGATATGTTTAAAAAAATGCGTTCAAACTAATGAAAGAATTTTGAATATTCTATAATTCAACATTGTTGACATTATGAATCTATTTATTGCGTAAATGTATCGATATAAACTTGAACAAATCAGAATACCTTAATAAGACAGTCTGCCACATATAACATTTTCCTTTCCCGCATAGAAAACGATTAGAGAAAGCTAAGTTATACACGAGTCTAGAACAAACTTGAATAACTAAAAAAAATCTATACGAGCTAAGCATGCAGATGTTGAGATGCAGTTCAGCAGTTGCACTTGCACAGACCACATTCAAAAGATACAGGCAAAACTCAGAAATAATTATTTATATTTATTCGAAAATTACGTTGAAGTCTTCCAGAAATGAGCCGCATCAACTAGAAAAACAGCTTCAAATAAATTACAAGGAATGTGGAGTCTGGAGTGGAGGGGATTCTTGTGTTCCTCAAAATATTTAATTCTACTTTATAGGTCATCAATACTCATGCTTTTGAATTTTCACATCGTCATATCGGCAACATTTTTAAAATTCACTGCGAATTGAGTATCAAGTTATATTTTCACAGTTCAGGCAATGATTTCATCAGCAGCTCCGGGAATATTGTCAATTTGAGAGAAATGGCATATTCTTCCTTTTCACAGACATAGTCAATTAATAATGGAAAAGTGCAATAAGAATACAAACCAATATAATTAAAATGCATGAACGATTCCTTCAAATGCACCTATTCCATCACTAAAACTCTAGCACTAGAGTTACTTCCAATATCGGTAGTAATATATTACTTTCAATATAGGTACCTTCATTTGGCAGCGTTAATTTAGCTTCCATTTAAAGACGAAGAGTTTCCTTCAACATTGCATAATGAAACAATTTTTTCTTCATTTAAATTACACTTAGCGCGCATCCTAAAAGACAAAATAACTAGCATCGAGACAGATAATCGGAATCAATTCAAGGAACTTTGCCCGTAACGTTAAACCTTGGCACGTTCCTGCACGGTACCCGACAAAATATGGACCCGTTCGTATCAAATAGTCACTAACACTCATCACGGAATATTGTCCCTGGAATTGTTGAGGAGAAAGCCATTAAAATCCTGCCTTTAATTGTTCACTGTCTCCCTAAATCGCGCTCAACTTCAAACTTCTCACAAATTTATTTTCAGACTCACAAATTTATTTTCAAAATTATTGTACACGTTACATTCGTGTTGCATAAAATAACGGTGGAAAATTTTTCTAAAAAAGTATAAAGCAATAAATATAGCCATATATTATATTTCTGATTGTGATTCAGGACCGAAAGTGCAAAGAATTACTTTAATTGTGGAATAGATGTTAAATCTGGAAGATTTATTTCTTAAATTGGACCACCAGAAATTAGTCTTGAAAAGACTAAATAAAACTGGACGCAAGCGGTAGTTGAGCACATATCTTCTAACTGCTCGCAGGAAATTCATGTGGCAAAACAATCCACAAAAACGCAATCTTCCTGCCAGCGATTGATCAGACGACGTCCCACCCATAATTTGAGAGCAGGCGATCCCGATCGAGGAGTGACTGAGCCGTGAATGTCAATTGAATGAACAGTGAATACAGAATGAACTTTTCACTGAATTAATCTTTGTATCATGTTTTCAAGAATGTACTAGCTTAATCTATTTAACAGAGGAATAATGAGTAAAAAATTCGCACCTGCGAATTCATCACTCGTACTGGCGTATAAGCTTCATTGTGCGTCACAATTAATTTGACGCTTGTGTTTGATGAACCACGAATTTCCATAAAACAAATTTGTTTCTGGGCTTTTGGCATGTGAATCGAGGTAGCATCGGCAATTCATATTCATATATACTCGGGACTGTTAAGTACCGTATGAGCAGCATGCACGAACTTGCCGTGCCGCTACCCTTGCTGCTCACAGACCCTTGACACAGACCCTTGCTACCCTTGACAGAATGCACATTGACATAGAAAGTTAGCATGTACTGCCAAGTCAGTTCTCAGCGAGCTGGAACGTTATACGTGACAACATCAATACTCGTGTGCGAGAGCGAACGTTGACGGCGCATAAAGAAACAAGAAAAGTTAAGTGAAAACATAGATTTTTAAACAAAATGAGTCTACGTCTTGAATTTCATTAGTGGCGAGTCTACAGACAACAACTTTTTGTGTTAGCTTTATCTCTTTTTTCGCATCAATCAAAATAAATATGTATTCGAGTTCTTTAGTATATTGAAACGCCAACTGGTAATGGCCATGAGTAGATTTATCACTTAAATTGCAGAACTTATATCAATTATTGTCAGTTCAAAATTTGATACAAAGTCGGACTTACAGCTGAAACTTCAGTCCACGCCCCAAAAATTTAGTGGAATTAAAGACAAAATCATTGACTTTCCAGACAATCTTCGTAATAGACCAACCACAAGTGTTAACAATAAATTCCTTCGAGTCAATTGGACCTTGAATAATGTCACTTACATTGAAGATACAAACTTATGAGACCTGAGCTAATTTCGGAGACGTTTTACGAGACAAAATAGATTAGGGCACAAACGTGTTCATTCTGGAAATAAAATAACCCAAGTGAGGACTTAGTTTGCAACCATGGCATAATTGTTGTATAGTTTCATTCAATTTTTTTAATGTTTCCTTGTTTCAAGGTGAACGAAATGCGAATACAAACAAAATGCATGATGTAAACGTGCTAAAAACTGATGCAATCGTGCCGGAAGAGGTCTTGACAGGCAGCGTCATGCGTGTACAAATGAAAAGAACCATGGACTGGAAACGTCTAGGAAGAACGTCCACAAGTTGTTTGCGGGAGCTGCATGTAACGCAATAATTATTGGGACTTGAAGTAAGTTATAGTGAAGAGTACGCTGCAGTGTCATGATGTAATGAGTTCATCCCTCTTGTTTCAGGAAATGAATACCATATGAGTAGAACACCAATCAAGGTACAAGAAATTTAATGCTTCATTCCACGGAACCGATATCAGTATAAATTCAAATTACAGGCGTACAGTTGTTTTATTCCTTGCGCACTTTGTATGGGATCATTCATGAGATCAATTATACATATTAAAGTTAGTTTCTTGGATGTTTAAGGGATGACCAACGAGCCTCGCGTCAGCAATCATAGAGTCATGAGAAGCAAGCTCGTGGTAGGCAGACATGGTGGGTAAGTACAAGTCTGCATGGTCAGCGACACTTACGGCCAGTCACGCTCTATTACGGCTGGTTAGGCGTGCGATTCTTGAGTATACGGTGCATGTTTATAAGGAATGTGTGCTATGACTCACTCGAGAAGGCAATACACATAGAATTATGGCAGAGAATATGCCATCCCCACGGTATGTACTGTATATCATCTGCTCCTCACTGTTTTTGTACTAAGAAAATTTATGGAAAACGATACCAAATCGTCTTATCATCCCTCAATATGAGAGTTGCATTATTTTGCTTGTTTTTAATTTTCTTAGGTTCAGTTTTGTCATATATTGTGAAGTTAGAAATGCGGAACTAAGCAAATAATTGTCTGTATTGTCATTTTGAACTTAACTCCTGTAAAGCATGTAAACACAGCTTAAAATTTATGGGGTCATAGGGGACTGTTTCGTCAACGGCACCGAGAATAGTCGTTTTTATATCCGTACTGCAGCACATAGGGGAGGATGTTACCCAAGCGACAGAACTGCAGCATTCCTAGCTTAGCACGCAAGTGTACAAACGTCGTTATTGTTGGACTAGATCACTGCTGACGTGCGTCTGAGTCGTCTAACGGAACAATATAAATGAATGCCATAAGCCAGGAACAATGGACGTAGTCACACGGAGCCGCTGAGAACAAAGCGATCGAGTAGTTAGTGCGATCGCGGTAGATCAGATTATGATGATCGATCTATGATGATCAATGTCATTCGATCTTTCGTCTTTATCGATGATTAATTGACACGTAAAAAACCTTCACGATTGAAGGTAAATGCAGATAAAGTCAAAGCTACCAATGAATCGTTTCTACGATACCAATTTGAAATCAATCGAAACCTCGTACATTAAACAGTAAAATTTAACAGAAATTAATACAAAAACAAAACTAAATCAAAGTAACGAATAAAAAGTCGGCGAAGAAAATTAATTTTGTTCAGCTTTAGCGCTAATATTTTTAGTACAACATTCACTGCTTTCTTTTCCACTTATAAAATTTGCTCCAGAATATTTTTTTGTTCATCACAGTTGGTAAATTTGCTGCAAGTATAAGATTGGTAAATCGGCACATACTTAAAACATGGAGGTCAAATAAGGAGCAAAAGTATAGCCAACAAGTAGCGGAACGAAGCTCTAGAATTTACTCAGCATCTCCCTTCAGTATAGAAGCTATAACACGGAAACACGAAATCTGCTGGAAAGATAAAAGATGGGAGTAATAGCAGCTTTCTCTTAATCCTTGTTTGACGAGATGCATGCAGCAGGAAGTACGAGAAAGTAAGATAGGCTGCATATACAGAGTTCCAATCAATTGCAGATTAACACGCTCCTCTCAGCTCGTAACTTCAGACGGCGAGCAAACGAGGTTGGCATATCCGAGGCAGAAAAGCCTCTGAACGCAAGAATATCAATTTAAGATTGTTGAGCAGCTGTATATACCTTAATTCAATTCGACCATTCAACCCAAATTTTAGGTTCTATATAGTACTCTTAAAAATGTAGAGTTCTATAGAATTATGGTCAACTTTTAAAGAGTTGCCAAGAACATGAAAGCAGAAATAAGGATAGGTGGTTTAATTCGAACAATGGTGATATCGTCATAAAAAAAAATTATGTAAATCCATGAATTTATTGAAACTTTAGACAAATTTACCTGTATAAGCAAATGATGAATAGAAGTCGATTTCAAGTCTAAAAAATAGAACTACGTAACCTGCGGTTCCTCAGACTCCAGAAGCTGATATAAAACAGCGATTTTATCTTAAGCGAGTAACTATTGCTACTTTAGCAATTTAATTAATCATTATTGTACAAAAATTCCATATCAAATAATGTTCGTTGTATTTCCTTGAGGTTATTTGATACACTGTGTTAGTAAATTCAAAGTGCGAAGAAGTTCTCCAGTTTCCACTCTAAATCTCGTGGCAAGGAAATTAGACACAATTGAACGCAACGTTCGTACTTAATTTTTGAGAGTTGATTTTTTTTCAAGGTCCATTCTGAACATGACTACAGGTTTAGCATTTAAATATTGAATTGAAATGGAGTGAAAGCGATACCGTGCTGGGAAAATGATAGACCGTAGGGTGCCAAAGGTGGTATTTGATATCAGCGTCATTCATGCATATTGCTCGCAGGTTATCATAAATTTCTGCATAAATATGGACCTAGATATAATTCAGTTATAAGCTAGTAGTAAACATTTCAGTACCCTGATTTAAGTGCACGAAGGATAATAATCTTTATTCTATAACGGACATCTTCAAATAATGATCCGCAAGGTCACGCAAAACTAACGGCTGGTCCGCAATTGAGTCCTTAAATGGACCGGAAGTTCTAAAGGTAACGAGTTCAGCGACCTCAGTAGAACCTGCTCGGAATGATTTTTGAACGAAATTGGAGGTGTGAAAGTATTCCTATTTACTTTCCTATGTATAAGTATTCCTGCTAGAATGTAGCATACTTGATTACAATAATTTAATGCCATAATAAACTTTCAGGGAGTGCCCGGTACAACATGTGTGAAAATAAAATTTTAGATTCGGTTGCTCTATTCGAACGTTTAATTGAGACACTTCCATAACTTACCAAGTACGCAGATACCTTCATCATTAGCGATTGAAGACCATCTATGGTTTTATAATCGATGATCTTCAAGACGAACGTGGGCGATGCTACCAGATTTTATTGTTTTCAGAAATAAATTTTTAACCGCTTTAGTGCGTTTCAAAGGATATTTCAAGAACTTGAATCATGTTCACACCATTGAACTTTGACTAAGTTATTCTACGATAATGAATTTGCCTTGATCTTATATTAGGCTAGTAAATGAATTTTTCACACAATAATTTTCATGCATAAAAATGAAACCATGCACATAATCAAAGCAGTGTCTTTATTCATCACCCAGGGATCCCGTCAATCGTTTTTCGTACTTTAGAGACTCGCATGGTACATCTACACACGACGGCTGCTAGCGTGACACTGAGACCTAATAAAGGAGGGAACCTTCACGGCCTCGCTGGCCCACATCGAATTATGACCGGCGTCTTGACTCGGTCGACCGGACGCTGATGAGCTAAGGAATGCCATTTTAAAACAATGGAATCCGGAAAGCGTGCGATTCAGAGAGTGAGAAAATAAAGTGAACTTCGTGGAAGAAATCGAGGATTAGAGACAAAATGGAGAGGTAAATCGTTGATGCGTTCTCAACTCTTTGTCATTCTGAATTATGAACATTACAAAAATGACTTGCGAAATATAGTGAAAATGAATACTGAAATTCTTATTTCGTTGAACAAAACAAAGATAACTGCCAATTATTGTTATATTTGATATTTGAAAAAAATCTTATTCTTTTTTTACAGCAAGTATTGCTGACATCGTTGCATAGTTCAAATAATTGTCACAAGCTTATTAGAGTCAACGCCTATTTCTAAATTCAGAACAAATAATGTTTTGTGCATTTTGGACTATTGCCCGCTACACGATAAATATGATAAAGCTAGACAAGGAAGCGCCCGTAAGTCGTTTCGTTAACTAAACCTAATCAACCGAGGAGCCGGCGCCCTCCCGACGACGCTCGCACTGTCTTACCGTCTACACCAGACAATGGCATTATCCACGTCTCAAAGTAACTCAAACTTTACTGCACATACTAGGCAAAAAATATGTTGCCCATTCCAAATATTCTGTTTGTGTTACTCGTGGTTCAATTGGATTGTTTTCAGATTTATGTTACCTTAATAACTTCATGTTTAAAATTCATTCATAAAGAGAGAAAACGTTAATTATAACTTACAAGCAATGAAGAATGAACAGTTACGAGAACTTTCAGAAGACTACAGAAAACTTTTATGATTTAAAGAAAAAATTAAGACGGAAAATAATGTCACACTTTAAAAAAACTCCTATCAAATCATGTCGAAAAGCTTGTTTTGTTTCTAGAATGAATAGGATTTTTGTACCTTCTATTGAACGTCGGAACGGTCGGATGAGGCAGGAGCCCATGACAGGTGATTTGTAGTTATTAGTCATACATCAAGCTGTCCGTTTTCTAACACAGAATATTCTTAGAAAATGTAACTGTGACGATGAGTAACTGTTTCATATTTTCAATCATAGAATAGGGTATCTATCGTAAAAATGGCGGAGATAATAAGCAAGAATATTCATCTGGTAAGATTATTCAAATGCTCCTTAACGCCAACTTAACATAGATTAATTATGACAACTAAGTAGTTGAAGATTTCCGGAGAAATAAATTCACTATAAAAAATAGAGCATAGAGTCGTTTTTGGAACATTATATTGATGCCGAAACAAATATTATGATGCGCCTCCGGCTGTGCAGTCCATAGCCACTAATGAATCAAATCGTTTCTAATGGAAAAATAATTTAAACATGAATACTTAGACGGTCCTCATTCAAAAACTAATCGAGCAGCATGAATAGACTCGTCCAATTCCAACGTTCACGGTTCAACAGATAAAGACTAATGTGGAACCGGAAGCCATGACGACTAAAAATATTGTATTATGTTATTACGCTAACGTAAAATAAAAATGAAGATGTAGATTGATACACCGTATACAAATAGTAAAATACAAGGTACAGACCTGAGAAAAGCATCGCATGTTGCGGGCGCAGAGTCTGGCAAGTCTAGTCTGGCTGGTGCAGAGCGCTGCAGACAACCTTTGCTGCACCACAGAGTCGCTCGTGCTCTCCAGCTGCAGAGTGAGGGTGTCGAAAGTCTGCTGCTCCACCACCATCGCGTCCTGCAGACTCTGCACCAGCTCGATCAAGCCCTGAATAAGAAAAATGTATTGCTAATGAATGCACTGTCCGATGTGTAACATTCATCAAATTTAAATATTTATGAGACCAAAAACATTATTTTCTAGATGGGAAATATTATAAAATGAATGTAGGCTGAAAACGTTTAACCTGAGCGCTTAAATTGTTATGAGTTCTCCAGGCATCAAGCGAACATTGCATCAAGCATCAAGCGTTTTGTCGTCAAGCGAACGTTGTTACGTTATACAGGTATAACGTGAAATATTAATTCATCTGGGGCTGTACTTTCAAAACTGGCAAAGTGAACGTAGGTACTTACGCTCTATTTTCTTATCTATGATTGGTGGATTTTCCTTGAAAGGCCGTCAGCGATTGGCTGATGAACTTACGATCACTTAAATTTTTTTGAAAGTATAGGCCCAGATTAATCAATTATAGGGAACGATGGTAGTTGCATGGGCGCGTGTAAAATAGCCTGATTAGCTGGAAATTCTTACTTAAATTTCATTCAAGTAACCAAACATTTCTTCATCATTTATACGCATATAGAAAAAAGTTCGAGACGAGACAAAAATTGAAAATCACGATGCAATAAACTTAAGGAAATTCATAAAGAAGCAAGGCGGGGTGGCATGCACCGCGCCCTGGAGCCGTCTGGCGGCTGTCGTGTAAGGCGTGCACTTCTTAACACTGAATAGAACTCGACTCTGACGGAACAATTCATTCGCAAGGTCAATTCACAAAAAAACTATTGGGCAACTACGCAGAGGCGTCTTACAAGTGTCTTGTATTCATTTTATGAGTATTTTTCTCAATATCGGACGACGCGCGAAGTAACTCGACTGAAAAAAAATGAAGAAATAATATTTCAACTAGTTTTTTAGAAGGTAAATAAATATTAGGACTCAACATTGACAAATCATTAGCTTATTATGCACCAAAAACGAGCATTGCACAGCTAGCCACACCTAGAACGCAACATTGCAAGCAGACACCCGCATGTCACGGCAGGAGGTCATTAATTACGTTACCGCACGTGTCTCGTACTTGTCATGCAGAAGCGACACCCTTGAACATAATGAGAACCGAAATATAATCAAATAAATATTCATTTCATTGCCCTTTGCGTCTTCTTTATTATTAATAATAATGAGATCAATAAAAATTTGTAATTTTTATGAATTCGTATTTGCATAACAGACCTCCATGAATTGCCAAGACAAGCGTTGCATCTTCTTGCAGAAAATTTTCTTTCATCTTATTTACCGAGATAAAATGCCCTTAAAAATAAAATTAGACAAATAAGAAATATTATAATATATAGGAAATAAATAAGAAATGCTCTCTAACTTTTTCTTCCTTCTGACACTCCTTCAAAATAATAAAAATACTTTATTCATTTTGCGAACTAAAAATACTCAAAATGGTTTTCATATAACCATAAAATTATAATACATTATCCATTTTATAGAAATGTAATCACAAACTCAAGTACGGACGGGAAGTCGAAAAAGTTTCAATCAAGCTAGCAATTAGATATAGTACCAAAATTAGTCTCGCCAAAGCATATTCGTAATTTTGTATGGCAAGACAAGAGATTACTCAGTCCACAGACGCAGCGTGATTGCGTAGAACCGGAATTAGCACCCCAGCTCAAGTTCTTTTATAATCCTGTGAGGTCATAGCTTTTCTACTGAGTGACTTGAAAAGAAGTCGCTCTACGTTGAAGCTGACAGAAGATAATTTGCGGGGCATTCGTGGATCTCACGTCTATAATCAAAATACTTTCACTGGCAAGTGAATCTTCAATCGCAATCACTTGACATAACTTGGATGTGAAAACTCGTGTACACACACGAGGAAGGGCGCAAAACACGCCGAGTTCGCTAAATTGCAAGTGTCAATAAATAAAATAAACAGCATGGCAGAGGCTGAAGGCATCTAGTCATTCACCATGAAACGCAATATTGATAAGACCTTCGGATGCTAACAGTATATTTGATATGATGATGCTTAGAGAGATCCATACATCCACCAAGCAAATGATATGCTTAGATGATGCACATTTGAATATCTAACGTTAAGACGTCTTCTTATTCAGTGAGTGGGCAAGGCCTAATTTTTTACATGTGAGCTTTTTCTATAAATATTTGCATATGTGCCTTCGTACCCAGTAACCTCTACAGTCTACACAGACCAATGGTAGTAACGGCCAGCACAGGCAGCAACATTTGGCATGGTCAAGGCCAGAGCTAAACATTAACGCGTCATGAGCGCCATATAAAGAATTTCTGACCCTATAGGCTCGGTGAATAAAAGTATGCGGGTGTGTTCTATTTTTTGCAAGATACAACTGAGCTCATGCGGACTGTGTAGACTAGGTGTCATTTGTCGTGCGACGAAAAGAATTTGTCTAACGTTTTGTAGTGACGGTACTCAAAATTATCAGTGATACCATATTCAGGGATCGATAGAAAATTCCGAAGCTAGTGAAAATCACAAAGCTGCGGAGGCGATCCTAAGCCTCAAATTTAGAGATTTTTTTAGTTTCGAATAAATTCAATTGAACATTGGTCTAGTAAAATACGAGTCTAATACTTGAGGAAAATTGTTAGAACATTGATCAAAATAATTGAAGAACTCTTACGAGCAAGTAAAACTTTTCAACTCTTAATTGTCTTATTATTTGTTATTAATCAGAGGATTCACAAGTTTGGCAAGTAATGCGCATTTTGAATATCGATACTTATTCAGTTAGGATGAATAAATATTAGAAAACAACGTAAGTGTCAAAAAATAAATGGCATTCGCTTGCGCAAATCACTAATTTTACTTTCACAAAACTAAAAATGTAAGTCCCTAATTAAAATGGTTAAATTTGTAAATTTCTGTTATTTATATATACGAGAGGAATAAATAACTCTCGCCAAATGATAGACATGACAATTAGTGAAGTTATTTTATCTGCAACGCAGGCACGCAGGATCTGAGGGGCACGTCGTCATCATTCTCAGCTTAACCTCACGACGAAATTAAAGGAGAAATTAATACCGTAGATAATTACTGCGAATTTTCCGACGGAACAACTTATTTTGTTAATAAACAACCACGAGAGGGAGCCATTTCACATTGATATTCGAGGTAACAAGTGACGCTCATGCAAAAAATTACTAATTCAATATCCTTAGTATGACAAAAGTAAATTCATCAAGTTTATAACAGGTGGATTTATCAATATCATGCAGGCAAGATGATTAATATTGATGACACGAAATTTCGTCGTGCTCGCATTCAAATACCTCCGGAGAAAAACGACCGCCATTTACAAAAGCTCGAAGCAGATGGCAACTTATTATCCCAACTCATTATACTATTATGCCAATTTGTTATCCCAAATATGGAACGGCATCCTGACCGGCGAAACAATTTCTGCAAAGAAAAACTCATTTCTATTCGAAGAAATCCAAGGCCTTCGAGCATATTTCAGCCGAACATTAAAGTCTCGGCTGTGCAAATTGTTATTTTACATACATTGTTTGTTTGTTTTAGTGACCTTAGTTGCTAGCGTTTTAGATCGAGCTTTCTTGCGCCGAATGTCGCGTGGGTTATTTTACAGACAATGATGATTCAAAAAATAAATATGAAAGAAGATAGTCTGCGTGTGGTTTGAGTTTGATCTTTGCATTTCATTCAAATATTAAGGACTTTTTGATTGCCAGAGTGAGAGTGTTTGACGAAAAGTTTATTGTACAATCTCGATCATGCTTTATTTTTAAATGAAACATAAATTGTCACAAAAAAAATCAAAACAACAATGCTTAACTTCACCAAATAAAATTAACCATTGTCCTTGGAGGATCCTAAGGAATTGCGAGACATAATCTCTACGATTGTGAAGATAATCTTTAGTTCGACGAGTATCATGGATTGCAGTAAAATACAACGCGTGGCTCTCGAGGTTTTTGCTCTAAGGCAAAACCTGAGATGAGTATGTTGCTGCAATGGAGGACCTCTGTGAGATTTGGGGGTCAAGTTCATGAGTATTTGCTAAGATTGTTGAGAATTTGAAGCTTCTCGCATGATCGCATAGTTGGTGATTATGGGCAACGATGCATAGCCTTCATGCATCCATATAAGCGCAACCCATGCTAAAAAATGGGGCCAATATAATAACCTGGAATTATTCTGATAATGATATGAAATAATAATAATTTTGCTTGCATTCTAGGATAAGACGAAAACGTTGTTGGCTGAGACTGTTGTCGACACCGCGAAATCCCAAAAAGATTAATCACGTCAGCCGTAACTCGAACGTTTTTATTGTGAGGTGATGTGATTAGAATTGAATTGAAAACTTATAATACAATAATTCAATGTACCACACTGGCTAGAAATTTTTCGATATACATAAATTACATCAACATCCCGCAGAATTCTTTATTTTAATTCACGGCACAGACGTAACGTACAAACATTGTCCACTTTCAAATCTATTTGAATGTAATGACCAGGTTCAGAGAGAGAGAGAGAGAGAAAGAAAGAGCACATCAGTCTGTGTGCTGATGTAAACATGAGTAAAAATCGATATCGATTTACGCAGGTGCTGGATCTCTATATACTCCGACTGCTGTAAAACAGCAAAACCTTTCCGCTTATGTGATGCGGAAAAAATGCACGAATAGCCACTTCATTTATAGAAATAAAATACTGAAAACTTCTTCGCTCGAAACAGAGGTTATATTTTTCTGGAGACACACGTGCTTAGCATTAATCACGTACGAGAGCTTTATATAATGAAGGTTTCTAAACTAAATGCCCGAAATAGACCCGAAACATCATGATTCAAATCATAGAGCAACGGCGGATTCTTGACTGGATAAATCAAAGGAAGGCGCTGATTTAATTTTGAGCCGTAGATACTAATACTTTCTTACTGCTCTTCGGTTGACACTAGCGTTTCTTCTAATTTACATCAGAACTGGTGGTAGTCATGACAAAATGTACATTACAT